GGTGGGCTCAGTTGCTGAGTGTGTCGTAGGTTGCCAGGTGTCCAGTATTTTCGCCTCCTGGCCATGAAAAAAACAGAAAATACTGGACATTTCAGGTATCCAGTATTTTCTGAATTTTTTTTACCGGACAGGAGGCGAAAATACTGCACTGTCTGGGTCAATACTGGACACCTAGCAACCCTATACGAACAGCATTTTACCAACTTTTCCTTCATTATTGCGGTAAGTTACAAACATTTGAATCTAAATCATGCAGAGACTTGTGCACTGAGTAGCACCATTAAAATCAGCGCGATTATTTGTAGTACATAAAGTTAAGCACGTGTATAAGTCTTTGCACTATTGAAGTCTTCATATTACTGGATACATTTACAAAAGTGATGACTATCTTCTGTGGCCATTCAGAATTGGTATAAACTGTCCATTTTAAAAAAATGATGGATTTGTGCAGCGCAAGCTTTTTCTAATCATAACGAAGTCTGAAGGGCCTAGAGTCTCAGCACATGGCTCATACAAATGGCTCACAATGGTTTGATTGTGTTTTAGTTTTGTCTCAGTGTTTTGATTCTTCCTAAAATTTTGGTTTTTTTCCTCATATACGCCAGACCAACAAACATTATAATCCAATTGTAAAGTACTTGGATATATAATTAGGCTTCGTCTAGACTGGCATGATTTCGCGCAAATACTTTTAACGGAAAAGTATTTGGCATCGTTTGCGCAAGGCATGCCATTTAGGCTTCGTCTAGACTGGCATGATTTCGCGTCCGATGGCCATTTTAGCCATCGGGCTTTCTTGCGCAAGAAATTAACTTGCCTGTCTACACTTATCCCTGAGCGGGAGCCTCAAAGTATTTGCGCAAGAACCACTGGTTTTGTACAGTACAAAGTCAGTGTTCTTGCGCAAATACTCGTGGCCAGTGTAGACAGGCAGCAAGATTTTGCACAGAAGCGGCTGCTTTTGCGCAAAATCTTGCCAGTCTAGACACACCCCTGAGATATTTGATGGGCTGTTTATGAACATTGCTAATCTAACTGTGGATGTAAGCTGTCTTCATTCTTCAGAACGACTTGTTTTTAGTTTAATCCGTTCTAGTGGAAGGACTGTTTACAATTAAGGCTGCTTTCTTAATGTTTGTGGCTAGCTTTTCCTTTCTTTGGTCATTCATGACAAATAATAATTATGCTTTAGGCCACTTCTCTTTTGTTTCTAGTGCATTTTAATCGTATATTACCTAAATAGGGTCACTTTGCAAGCATATACTCAAACAGAACTATACTGTACACATAAAAATCGTTTCTGAACTCTGCATAAACTCATGACTTCGTTATTTTCCAGGCTGTAAGGTAGTAATAAAAATACATTTCTGTAGTGATAGTGATTTCCTGCCAAAGATCTCTATGCATTTAATAAATGTTAATTAAAGCTTTAGCCACCTGTGAAATATGTGGTATAGTTTTCTTCATTGCACAGATGGGGGGTGTTAGCACAGTGTGTTTAAGTATGACAGATTGTCACAGAAGAAAATTACACTGTATGAAGTTCTGATTTTGTTACTTAATGTTTAATTAAAGGCTGAAATTCATACCAACTTTGATCTCCTCTACAAAATGATGTCAAGGCACGAAGAATTCCGATGGATGATGTTGCGCATCAGAAGAATGGCTGATGCTTGGATTGAAGCAATTAAGTCACTTGCGGAAAAGCAAAACCTGGAGAAAAGAAAACGAAAAAAAGTGAGTTTTTTAATAACTGCTTCCGGCAGTTGGAAATCATAACAGCCTTTAGAAAGTGCACTTGTCATCTAAGCAATGCTTGATGGGGATAGGTAAAAATTACTTAATCATGTTTTGTTGTTCTATTTCCAAGAAAATCTCAGGCTAGTAATTATTTTGTTTGTGTGGGTTTTTTGAGGGAGAGGGGTTGGGGAGGATATGGATTTTTTTTTTAAATGTACAGGTAGCTATGTGTTTTGTGTTAAAGATGGCAAGATCAAGCCTACACTTTGAGCCAAAGCTAGGGAGATTTGACAGTCTTTAGGTTCTGGGGAGTTTCTGCCACTGTTTCAGATTGTTCCCTGGGAAAGTTCTGTGTCCCACAGAGACAGCATTTACCACATAGATTGCACTACAGGCGTGGAGTTGTTGACCACAGTCTTCATCCCAGAGCTTGGGATGGACTTTTAGATATGATGGACCAAAGCTATTAATTGTTAAGAAAATGAAGACTGAGATCATGAAAGTGATTTGAAATTCTCTGGAAAATCAAAGTTGAGAACAGAGGACAGATTTGATGTGCTGCAGAGAATGCAACAGCAGTTTATACTAATTGACATGTCTTAAGCAAGGAAGGCTTCATGCCCTGGTATATCGCATTCCTACAGTCCAAGGCTACATCTAGACTGCAAGCCTCTTTCGAAAGAGGCTTTTTTGAAAGATACTTTTGAAAAAATCTCTTTTGAAAAAGAGTGTCTAGACTACAACCAGTACTTTTGAAAGCCACTTTTTTGAAAGAGAGCACCTAGGCAGTCTGGATGCTCTTTCAAAAAAACACAGTTTGCATTACATAGCGCCTTTTTTCAAAAGAGCACTTTCGAAAAAAGGCGTCGTTCCTTGAAAAATGAGTTTTTCTGCGGTCAAAAAAACTGCCGCGTTCTTTCGATTTACTTTCGAAAGAACATGGTAGTAGTCTAGACGCAGGGGAAGTTTTTTTTCGAAAAAAGGACACTTTTTTCGAAAAAACCTGTAGTCTAGACACACCCTAATTGAGAGCAGTAGACATAAATAACTGAGGCTATGGTGATATCTGCCAGGATGGAATTGAGACTTTTAGTTAATCAGAGATGATAGAAATATTGTGAAAGCTTATCAACGAGAAATCCAAGAGGACTCTTAAACTGAACACTAAATTGACCAAAGGAGACTTTAACTTGTCTTCGATTCTTCAAAATGCTTTCCTGGTGTCACTTCGGTTTTGTTTAGATTTAGCCAGCTGCTCTTCATCTATGAGCTGATCTCATGTAATAATTGAATCAACTTGTTGATAGTGCTGTGGTCATGCATGTTGATGGATATGTAAGGCTGTGTCCTCTTCATGTTGCTAGTGCTTGAATCAGTATTGTCTGAACAGTTCACCTAGTGCTTGTATGTAGCTGAAGGAGCTGGAGAGGGAAGGGCTCTTTGTGGGATGATATACAGTTTTCGATTCCTATTTGTTGGGTGCGTCCCTCCAGGAAGGACTCAGATCATGTCCTGGATTCCTGCCACCTCTCTGACAGGACAATAGTATTTCATGGTCAACTCTGTCAAATATTGCAGAGATAATGAAAATGAATGGACAATTCACTAACAGGAGGCCAATCATCAGAGTCACCAAAATGGTTTTAATTCCATGTCCTGGCCTGAAGCCAGAGTATTCCTAGTCCAGAATATTAGTTTGTTAGTTGTGCATGTACAGTAAAACTCCAATGGTCCGGCATCTGATGGTCCGGCACTCCTGATGGTCCGGCACCATCAGGAACCCCGGAAATGCTCCGGGCAGCCGGACCATTGGAGCTGCTTTGCACCCGGCTTCCCCAATTCAGCTGCTGCTAAAACTG